CCTTCCTTCCTTCCTTCCTCCTCTCCTCCTTAGTTATATATAAATATTCTATTAACTTAAGTAACCTTAATAGCTATCTTTATAATAATAGCTAGAGGTTATAATAATTATAATTACTATTTTATATTAATATATACTTTAAGATTAAAAAGATTAATTAATAAAAGTATATTTAATAATTATAATCTAATTATCTAAATCCTCCTCTTTAAAGGAGTTAGTTTTATTAAGAATATAACTACTAAAGTTAAATAGGCTAACTAACTACTTAAGATTAAGGTCTTAAAGTACCTTAATCTTTAATAACCTATAGCCTTAATAGTATCTATAAGCTTATAATTACTTATATTTATACTAGGAAACTTAGAGATTAATAAGTTATATAGCTACTTATCCTTAATAATAAGTATTAATACCTTTAGTAGCTTATACTTTAGTATCTTATAGGATATATCCTTTAAGTAAGATATTTATATATTATACTTATAGTTAGTTAAGTTTAGAGTAGATTAGGCGAGATTAATAGTAAGTATAGGCTTAGTAGGATATTTAAAGCTTTAGTAAGGACTTAAGTAGTAATATATAAAGTAGTAAAGGTAGTGATATATTATAGTTAAATTATCTATAATAATAAAGATAGTAATTATAGATAGATTATTAATATAGACTTAAGCTATATAGTTCTATTAAGTATATTTATAGTAGTATATACTTTATCTTCCTACTAAGGACTAGGCTAGGGATAGTAGTCTTTAAATAGATAGAAAGTAGTATTTTAAGGTTTATAAAAGGAGTTATATTAATAAAAGACTTATATTTAAGATATAAGCTATTATTAGTATTAAACCTTATATATAGCTAGATATAAGCCTTATAGCTAGGTAAAAAGGCTAAAGTTTAATATATTATAATACTAGGTATAGTATTAAGTTATTTAATTCTTAATATTTAGGAATTTCCCTTTTTTTTTTAGTAGCTACTATATAACTATATAGCTCTCTTACTTAGTATAATAAGTTATTATTATATAATTTAATATATTTATAGTAATATATATAATATACTATATATATATTAGCTAATTTAAAATTAGTAATTTAAGCTATTATAATTAAATAATTTATCTAATTAATAATATTAATAAAAGCCTTTATTAATTTAGTTATATTAAAGATCTCTTTTACTTTATTATAATTAAAGGTAGTTATTATAATTAGTATTTTTATATTAAAGTACCTTTATATTTATTTAGCTTTTAGGTTCTAAAGTATATAGAGATTTTATAATAAAAAAGTATATAGGTTTTAATAAATTATAGATAATTATATAGTAATAAAGAAGAGGGTAAGAGAGTAAAAGATTTTTAGTCCTTAATTAAAATCTAAAAAAGAAGTATTCTTATAAGAGTAATCTCTTATATTTAGGTAATTAAGGAGATAAATAATCTTTTATAATTACTTACTATTTATATTATTAAGGGTATATATAATATAATACTCTTTAAAAGTATATTTAGTATTAATAGTATTATTAGAGGATATAGTAATCTTTAAAGTAATTATTTAAAATATATAAAAGATAATAATATTATTATATTATATATTATATATAGTTCTATAGTATAAGATTAATACTTATAAGAGGAATATACTTCCCTAGGTATTTTAAAAATTCTATCTCTTCTTCTTTATTAATCTATAACTACTATATAATTACTAATTAGTATTAGAAGGTATTTCCTAAGCTTATATATAAGGGTAGATAGGTTATATTAGTTATAGTTAGTTATTACTATCCTAGGCTATAGAGCTAGGCTAGTTATATACCTAGTTCTAGAGCGGTTATAACTAAGCTGATAGCTCTATAACTAGCCTTTAACTAGTGACCCCCTGTGTAGGTGACTAATATACTAATAATACTAAACATTAGGCCTACCAAATGAGTAGATACCCTAATTTCCGCGAATACAAGCATACTATTTGTCAAACTTCCGGCACGCAAGGGGTGTTGCACTCGATCTGGCCACAGCCAGGTCGGCGCCGTAATGGGCTGTACGGGGTCGGCTAAGGGTAGCCGGAAACAAAAAAAAGAATACGCGGATGGAACCCTAGACTCACGATATATGCACTTGTATGAGAGGTAGTATGCAAATGCTCGATTTCCTCTATCTACTGGCTGTCTCTAGCCTTTTTATAGATGAGTTAGGGTAACTCTCGCCTGAGGCATCATGAGAAGGGGAATGTGAATAATGTAAAGAGTGGTTAATAAGTCTTAACGTTCATTTTGCAGTATCAATTCATAGAAGTATTCAGTCTAATTTAACACCCATCAGGTAACCACGCCTCTTTGCCCGCGTAAAATTAGCCTTATATTAAATAGACCCCGTCGGAGGGATTCCCAATCTTCTCCTCCTTGAGGAACATGCCTCAAAAGCGTGTCGATATTTGTTCATCAGCACTTCGTGCTGAACCTTGTATTCATTCCACTCTGCACCATAGAAAGATAAACACGCCTTTCTTTCAAAAAGGTACAGTTCGTGTGGGCTGGTGTCGCCATAAGCAATCACCTCAACTGAAGGCAAGCCATCAACCCCAAATACTGTCTCAATAAACTCCCGAAATTCAGGTCTCAGTGTCCGCTTCTGACTTTCATCCCATGGAGCGGCCCAGCAGTCTCTAACGTCATCATAAGAGTGACGAATATGGATCATTTTCAGGGACGACATTCTTTTCAAGGATGGCAGTAGGTTAAGCTACGAAGTCGACATCAGTACAAGGTTTGCCATAACGGAGAGTAAAGTGATAACTACTTACGAAATGCTTTGGTTCGCATGATAAACCGATAGACTCAAGGTTGAGACCTGAGAATTGCGGATATATCGGCTCCATACAAGGGAGAGATATGTCTCCCAAATCGTCACCGATGCGCCGTTTATAGCCTTTGGTATCATTTCCAGAAATTTGACGCTGATGATGCACAAAATGTCGCAAGTCTTCTTGATGATGAGTGATATTTTCCCACATTTTCAGTGTTCCAACTGGTGCTAGATGGCTTAGGAAGAGCTCTTCCAACCTGTAGACTGTGCAAATTATCTCATTGAGGATACGCTCTACTGTAGTCGGTGCAGTGCAGTCGTCTTGTATCTCGAGTTTCTTCAGTTTCTGATGGTTTTCGAGTTCGCTCAGCGAGCGAAGCAGAAACTGGTCCCAACCTGGGCATGAGTGAAGCCCAAGGGATCGAAGGGACCGGAAATCGATTGCGCTCGCCAACTCTCCCGAGAGGGGCACGTCTGACAAAAACAGATCACGAAGCTCAGGAAACAGATGTCTAGTGGGGTGCTCTCTCGGACTCGGCGCGTTGAATAGTCGGTTAGCGAACCCAATCTCGATGGCTTCATCTTCGCTGAGATCGGCAAGGAACTCGGTCTCCCGTATTCTGTGTTTGAACCGTTTCCAATCATCAAAGTGCAGATGAAGCCTTCGCAAATGCCCAGCGTTTTGCTTGATAGCGAGGGAGAGCGTTGCAATAAATACTGCATTTGGAGTCGTCCAATCTATTTGCTCGAGCATGCGGAAGGCTGACAAATCTATCGTCTGGTTGGGTTCCTTGTTGAAGAAAAATCCAAGGTTTCGAAGACGGCATTGCGATGTAGTTGCAAGGAGTAACCGTCGCAGCGATTTTTGCTTGAGCGGAAGAACCCCGTACGTTCCTAAGAGTGAACCAGGGACGCACGTTTTCATCTCCCATCTGCATTTTGCATTAGTGACAACAGGGTCGGTAGCGACATGAGCAGATTTGATAGGATAAGAACCAACCTAAAAACCTCGAGTTTCTCATCGCTAAGTGCACTCGCCCTTTCTGTTATCAAGTCGTAGGTGTGTTTCTCCACCAAGGTGTCGTCATCCTTCCTAGAGAATCCCCTCCGTCTTTTTACGGCATAAGACTTTTCTTTCATGAAGTCGTAGGCGCGTTTTCTTCCAGAGGCGTTATCGTGGTTACCACTATGATAACACCAATCAAGCATAGCAGCATCCCTGGGGAACAGCTCCAGTCGTTTTACGTACTGGTACTTGCCCGGCAGTATTGGCTTAGAGACAAAGGTTTTATCGTAAGGTGGGTAATCTCGTTTGATTGCTGAGAAGATATTGCTGATAACGACATGATATAAATGTTTGGAGCATTGCGCCAGACTCTTTCGGTCACTTTCGCTCTTCAACTGCCATCACACGGCCGTTAGCACTTCTTCCAATATGGAACCCGGGATTTTCACATACCTGCCTAAGGATAAGCGTACAAATTTCTGTGGGAAGCTGTTCCAACTTGCTGGCCACCATCGCCACGGTGATCAAAATGACGAAGGAGAGGAGTCAAGGCCGAATTGTTCTAGGAAATCGCCGTTCCCATAAGTCAAGGCAACAAATGTTGGACGAAGTTTTCTAGAGAATTTGGCTTGGTAAGATATGTCTGTCTACGGTTTTGGAATCAGTCATGACTCTGGAACAGGGGCTGGGCCTTTTTTAATAAAAAAATCGCAATTTTCATGATCAAACTTAAAAGCGTTTGATTTCGATTCATGTTCACTGAAGCAGCCACACAAGAAAGACTGCGTGAATGGCATCTCCCGGGGTTGTCGTGAACAAAGAAAGAAATTTGTACTAGCTTGAACTTGCCCCCTACGCTTTGTCCTATGCCCGTTGTGTTTACAATCCACCAAATTCATAAGCTGTTTTTGGCAGTCAAGGTGATAGACAAGGAACTGAACAAAGCAGGTGAGTACAGAAGAGGTAAAATCTTAACGCTGTTGGTTCCACATTCATACCGAAGATCTGGCGCAAGCACTCAACGAGGCATTACGCACTGGGCAGTTTCAAGACGGATCTGTGTCTGTTCGCTCTCTCATTGAGTCACCAGGGCATCCTGGAGAAAGAAAGTGGCGACGGGAAACCCCGATCAATTGGAAATGCCTCAATCAAATGATTCTTAGGTGAGCATTTCATGCCTCCTTCGAACAAGCTCAGATAACATTTACAATCAACAGGAGCGTGCCCATAAGGAAGGCATGGACTTGACTTCACGTTTGAAAACCTAAACATCCTGTAGTCTCTAATTACTAGGAATTAGGATTTAATTTAGTTAAGTGTGCTTTCAAAACATGCACGAGCATCTCATGATTGTGGCATCAGTAACCTCAAGAATTAGTAATGAGATGATTGGTATATTGGATCGCTTACATTACTACAGTGACTGGAGAGTGAAATGGCTTTGGCCCCAGGTGCTAAGTCTGCTCACAAGGTCATCGCCGAAATTTCTCCCCACTGTGTTCAAGCAGCAAACGGGAGGAATAACAATGTCAATGTGGAAAGATGAATATAATTTGAAAGCTTTGGCATAGAAATAGATTCGGCCACCAGAAGAGTAGGATGTCGGTTCTTTAATGAGTCGCCATGGTTCCCAAGCCTCGAAATAAAAGGCAACCCAAAATATCCCACAACCCAGCTTTAATGTGGTATGACTTAAAGACGGCTGATCCAATAAGTCACAGGGGCGAAGGAAACATTATTTATATTGCTACTTCTGCATTTATTGTATGTAGACTGGGCCACCCGTGGCCTCAAAATCCGCTTAGGCCCCTTTAAGCTCGAACGAGCCTCTTGATGATCTTGGTCAAGACTTTATCTACCATCAATCTTCCTTTTCAGTAGATTTAAGCGTAGTTCTACATGTCTCATTTGCAAGCCTTTTCAAATTCCTTCAAAATCATCTATAAAATGCATTAGTACAAGATAGAAGAGAGGGGCAACGCCCAAGTAGCACATGGTAACATGCCTCGAAATCATCATCCGCCATCGAACCAAAAATGGGATGCTTGCTCAACTTCGATTTGGTTGCCCGCGGGCTGGTTATTCCAAAGGCCACTCTCGCAAGGAACAGGGGATCGTCGCGTATCTTTGTGGCTGCCAATACAGCGCGAAGTTGCGCCTGATCCACTGTCTTTGGTTTCGGAGTCGGCAGATGCATTGATGTACCAGTGAAACAAGGTGTACAGTGTCCGCAACTCTTCTTTCCGTCTGGCAGGCCCATGCCAAAGTGTTCAGCGATGAAACTTGCAAAACATGTTGGACTGGCAAGAAAGTCGAGAACACCCTGGACCCGATCAAGAGCTTGCTTCTCACGCTTTTCGAGATCCTGATAGACTTTTCCAACCAAGTCGTTGATCTCAGTCGCAGTGTGAGGAAGACGGCTCAAAACCTTGTACTTTTGTTCAACACCACCGACAGTAAGTTGAATAACCCCGGAATTATTAAGGTCATTCAAAAGTCGCACGATGTTATTGCGTGAAGCACCAGTGGCAAGGGTCGCTGCTGCAAGATCAATGCCGTAATACTTCTTGGCCTTCTTCGCAAACTGTAAAACTGCCTTCGCCTCTGCCGACTTGTTTGCTCTGAGAGTCGACACATAGTTCGGAGTTTCTTCAAACTTGTATGTGTTGTATTCGGGAGTAATAGCGCGAATCAAATTGAACCTCAGCTCGAGGGTGGCGTAGATGTTTCCTAGAGTGCTCTGGCGAATATCAAATTCGGAACTTTGCGAAGCGTGGCTGACCTTGAACGTGTCTCCCGGCACAGCCTCGCGTTTATCGTTAAAAATCTCCCCGAGGAGAGAATGGACGGATTGCCTAGACGGCATATCGCCCCGGATGAAGCTTTCCTTAATTTTACAGTCATTCGGACAGAGATAGAGCATACAGTGACTCTGTTTACCGTCTCGACCGGCACGGCCAACTTGTTGGCAGTATTCTTCAACGGTGTTGGGTAAGTCCCAATGAATTACATTTCGTAGGTCTAAACCAGTTAGCGGAAGTGCCATTGCTATGCTAAGATAGAGATATCTTTACCCGATTTATCAATCCCCATCCCGAAAGCAATGGTAGCGACGATCTTGAGTGCGTGAGTACAGGTAAAGTAGAAGTCGAGGTACAGCGAACTCACTATCCGAACTTTGGAAGCCATGAACTTATCTTGGACGAGCTTCTTCTCGTCTGATTTTCTCCCCGCATGGAAGTAGTCGGCACTTAGGTTCTTCTGTTGCAGAACTCGTGCCAGGTCCTCAGCTTGCTACAGGCATTGTCAACTCAATGTGGGGATATGCATGGATTAGGCAACAAACCTTTTGCTGTGTGACATAAACGAGAGAAGAACCGGGGTGGGTTTCCAAAAATTCAAATAGAAGCTTCTTTTTTTCAGCTCCTGATGCAAGTGGAGTAGCCTCAAGGCGCAGACTATGCCAATACGTAAGAATGACATCTAAGCACTTGAATTCAGGTATTCACGGCGGCCAACTTACTTCGGGCGGTAAGGAGAGGTCCGAAATACGCCATCTGCAGAGATATCGAACGCTTTGCAAACATCATCAGCAACCTTGGGTGTGGCTGTAGCTGTCAAACAGATCACGCGTTCTGCATTGATCTCTTGCACAAATCGGGCAACTAGACTTTTGTTAGAGTCATCGCTCATCGATGAGTTCATCTCGGCAGCCTAACCTTTCAAATAGTCCGGGCGGAACGAATGTCCCCACTAGATAGAGAAATATCAGTCACAAGAAAACTATTCCAGTGGTATCTTGCAAAGACAACATACCTCGGAGATGCAGTGAGCCTCATCCACGGCAACGAGACGAACACCTCCCTTAACTCGAGTCATACTCTCGACAAAACCTTCATTGTTAAGCCTCTCAGGGGCACAATATAATATTCGAAGCGTCCCTTGGCGAATGGATTCATAGATCTGTTTTGTTTCTGACCAATCGTTGCTAGATACCAGTAACTCTGCAGCAATGCCCTTTTTCTTAAGCACATCGACTTGGTCTTTCATCAAGGCGATCAATGGCGACACGACGATAGTGATCCCCGACTGGCCCGAGGCTCTCTGCTCATTTTTGCGGTCAATCTCCTCAAAGGCAATGGCCGGTATCTAAGATCTCAGTCAGCTAGTTTCCCACACGCATCTCGTATTTGATGATCTATGCTTACCTGATAGCACAGAGACTTGCCTGCCCCGGTGGGGAAGATAACCAGCGTGTTCTTTCCAGACAGGATTCGATTGATAGCCGACTTTTGTTCGTGGCGAAAATCCTTGTACTGAAATTTCTCCACAAGCAGCTTCTGTGCAAGCTGAGCTTTGGATTCGTCAAAGAGCGGGGGCTGCACTGCCGTATTGGAGGCTGGACGGAGCTTCTTGATGGGATTTTCCGAGGCTCCATCACCATTACCCCTGGCACGCTTTTCGCCAGTCAATTGGAGTATATCATTCTCCGTGACTTGGTCGAAAAGATCGTCGTCGGAAAAGTCATCACCAGCGTCCATTTTATCACTATGAGATGTCTCTCAGATACTCATTGGAGAACACTAATGATGCTTGCTGTGCGGATGGATTTACGATGATGCACCGTGCCTTTGGTGACGCGGTAGCGCGACAAGCCACATCACCCTACACGCGAAATCACGTGCAGAATAGTTATGAAAAGCGGTTACAAACAAAAGCAAAAAAGGGACATGATGAGACTGGGATTCGAACCCAGGCGAATTTCTTCACCAGAAAATTAATCCAAAGGCTTCCTAACTCTGGCGCCTTAACCGCTCGGCCATCTCACCAGCGACCCCGGCATCGTTATTGTAAGTTATAGATTGTTGTGCAGTCTTCATACCTACCAGGATCGAATCCATACCCTACCTCGTCGCTAGTGGGTCCAGGTCATTTCTCATCAGGTGGCTATACAGCAGCAGTCTTTCCTGTTATAGGCTAGGAACGGCAGTTAATAGTGCCACTTCTGTCTCGGCTAGGTCATCCAGAGTTCTGATAGCTGTCTGGAGCCACCCTACACCGAGCTTTCGGGAGGGCGTATGTTCATCTGAATTATCCTTCGTCGTAAAATGACGTACTTTATTTATTGCCCCAATAGTCTAACTATCCAGAAATCTCCATCCCTTATCTAGGGGGGATAGTACGCGTTTTGAGTTAAAGCTTAGGTGGTATCTTTATGCACGATTGATGCTTAATCTTACTGTGGTTCCAATACGTACATCAGAACAATGCTGTTTATACGTAGCTCCCATGTACAAATGTCCCGTGAGGGCTCCTCATTGAAAAGTGAGGGCGAAAATAGTATGACCAATCAATAAACTTTTACAACTGCGATGGAACCCAGTTGGGTTTTTCTTTCCTAGCAAAGGCTTCTAATCCAATTTTTAGATTTTTTCCTTCCAACAAAGCCTTCTTGTACCGTTGCTCGATGAGTTGGCTTGACCTTTCAACACTGGCAGTCTCCCAAGAATCTCGAAGTGCTGCACGGGTGACAATGACTGCATCGGGCGACTGTGAGGCAATGTCTTGAGCGGTTTGGATGGCCTCTTCTAACAGGGAATCCTGGCTCTGGGCGACCCTCAAGAACCCAAAGTGTCTCAACTCCTCGGCCGTCAGTGTTTTTCCCGTGAGTGCAAGCTCCGAGGCCAGCTGCATCCCCAACACCCTAACAAGTCGTGGAAGACCGCCAGCCGCCGCGTAGAGACCTCTCTTCACCTCCGTCAGGCCAAACGTAGCAGTTGGCGAGGCGATAACCAGATCACTACGTGATATAAGCGTCTAACATAGTGATGGCATAGTCGATCATGGGAACTTCTCACCAATTAAGTGCCATTTCGAATCCACCACCGAGGGCAAATCCATTCACAGCCGCGATGATAGGCTTCTTACCGACTCGCCGACTTATTCCAAAAAATCCGCCAGGTGGCATGTATCGAGGCGAGAGGCTCTTATCTGAAGTTCTAGATCGGACCTCCATCAGGTCAGCCCCGGCTGAAAATGACTTGTGTCCTTTGCCGGTGAGAACGGCGACTGTGAGAGAAGGTTCACCATCGAACCAGTCCCAAATTGCCTGCCCCTCCCAATGGCCTGCCATTGGGATGGCGTTCATGGCTCTCTCCCTGTTGATTGTGACGAGCATCACGGACGGCAGAGGGAAGCTGAGCTCTGCCATGGTCAAGGCGGGGGCTGCCGAGGTGAAGACAGGCATGACTGTCATGGTAACCGCTGCACGGGAAGTAATAAGTTGATTCCAGAAGGCTGGCGACGAGTAATTGTACTTTGTTAAATAGGACTTGACAGCTGAACTTGCCCATGAGCGAGGAGTATAAGAAGGAAATCAGAACCGCCTAGCCAATGCCCGTTTAATAAGTCTATCCTTAGCGTGAAGTATTTGAACAAACGCCAGGGTTGCTAGATAGACTCCTAGAGAAGTGAAATCCATCGAAGTCAACATTGTGGTATATGCCGAGGTAAATTCTTAGGAGTTCCGGGGTTTGTTGGGGGGATGAAGAGAGTCACTCATTGGCTCATCGATGAGGAGAAGCCTGGCCGGGACTATGACATCTCCATGAGCTTCCCCCGCAATGCAACGATTGATGCGACATACACCGCTGTGAACGTCTACGGCGCAATTAGAGCTGAGCTTAGTGCATAATTGCTGAGAGAAAGGAGCCGATGCAAGCAATGGCGGTTAATGGTGATAGTTATAGTAGAGTTTTCTAATCAGTTGGACCCGATAATTTCCACATTCCGCCCTAATGACATTCCGCGCGGAAAGAGTTTCGCGCGGAATGATGATCCTTGCGCTTGACCTTCCAGCCGGAGATGAAACTTGTGAGTAGACCGTTGATCAATCCCAACACATGCTGCACAACCACACATCCGCACACACGCTTGACGTACGACTGGTATGCCGAGGCAAAACCCCCAAAGCTGCTGGACCTGCCGGCTGCGCCACAAAAAGTGCGATGAAACACAGCCAGCTTGTGGGCAGTGTGCTGCCTTGCAGATCTCCTGCATCTACTCACAAACCAAGCCAGGATGGATGGACAGCGGGCCGCTGAAAACCCAGATGATCCGGCAGATCAAGAATCAAGTCAAGACCAGGGCGCGTCGACGTCGATTCCATGGCGCTATCCAAGAGATCGAGCGGAAACTCCGGGCTGACACGGCCGGTAGCGAGATACCCTCCATCTCAACAGATCAATCCAATGAAGAAGATCCGGTCGACGAAGATGGGATACAAGATTCCCCGCAAATCCTTTCGAACCATGTCCCGCCGGTCGATATGGGGGACGATTCTGATCTCCACTACATTATGATATACATTGACCATATCTTCCCTATACTCTTCCCATTCTATCGACCGACTGTCCTTGAGGGTGGGCGCTCTTGGATGTTGGCCATGTTTCTTAACCACAAGACGATGCGTTGCACCACCCGAGCCCTGGCAGCACATTTCTTAGCCATCGTTCCTTGCCGACCAACGCCCGTACCACTAAACTGTGCCTCTGCGGCACATGAGGACGGTCGAGAGCAAACAACATCAGCCATCAGACAACTACAAGAAGACCTCGGGGGCCTGATCGAGGGGGGTCCAATGACTACGCCAGATAACGTATTGCGAGAAACCAAGGTACTAAACGGAGTTGTGCACATGCTCAACGCCGAAAAGATCCTGTCGGTAGGTCAGACATGGCGTCTGCACCTAGACCCAGCTATTGCACAATTGGGTAACATCCTACAATCATCTACAGCGTATGGAACTCCTTCCTGGGCAATAGTGCTGAATGGACTGCGTACGTGTGCATCAGAGTCGATGTACCCAATCTGGAACGCGGATCAGGCTGCGTTTCGCTTTTCCGTTGGCTCGCTCTTGATAGATGACATCCTAGCAAGTGTGTCTCTCGAAACTGCTCCGAAGCTGGAACCATATTGGGTCGACATCCTCGGAGACAGTCCCTCAGCTCAGAATCCGGTTGATCTCAATCTGGAGGATCTGGTTGGCTGCCAGAACTGGGCCATGCAAGGAGTAGGCCAGGTATCAGCGCTGGCTGCCTGGAAGAAAGAAATGGTCCGGGACGGGACGCTACAGAAATCCGAGATTAAGCTCCGAGGATCCATCATCGAAAATCGTATACGGGAGAGACTGGTGGTTTTCATGGAGACGACACCTGGGAACGAACCTGATGCCTCGGACTTTTCCATTGACACGTTCACAAATAGGGAAATTCGCAAGCATTCTCCCAACGTTACTCTAATCTGGGCACATACAGCCCTAGTTTTTCTCCAGGTTGTGGTTTCAGGATGGTCGCCGTTTGATTATCAGGTGCGCGAATCCGTCGCAAAACTTATCAATTTGTTCAGCGAGTTATCCGACGCTCCCACCGTATTGCATACGCTTGCATTCCCTTTGGCCGTCGCTGGTTGTCTAGTGACAGGGTCTAATGAGGGTCGATTCCAGACCATAATCAAGAGAATGGGCGCCTTGGCGAACCTCGGAGCAATGAAATCCACAGTCCAGATTGTAGAAAACACATGGAGAAACCGAGATCATGTTGTTGCAGAATCTCAAACAATGGCTGTATGCTTGAATAGCCTGGGCTACCCGGTTCTGCTGAACTAGGTATAATTGAGAGGAACTGGGGACATTAAGATCGCCGACTCACTGCAGGCATCTTATGAACCCAGTCCGAGGAACCGCTCTCGTACGCATCAACCAGCCACCGAGCCAAAGCTGCTCGCTTGATCGAGGACGTCCACCCCGTTTGCCCAACATATCCAACGAAAACTTCCCCGGTCTCCCTGTCTGCCTTCCAGCTTGTTTCATCCGACTCTCCTGGTATCTGTGCGATGCGAAATATGGTCCAGTCCAAGTCCTCTGCTGTGTTCTGAAACAAGTTCGCCAACCCAGTCATGTTCTGGTATATGGAACTCGCAAAGAGCTTCATAAAGACAAGGACCATCGGCTGAAATATCGTCCAGATGTCGTCCTGGTGCTTGATGGACACAGTGCCCATGACGAAGATGCGTTTAACGCCATGAGCACGCATAGCAGGAAGCACATTCTGGCTGTACAGCTTGGGGTACAGCTCTGGGTCGATTTCGGGATTCTTGATATCTGGTCCGAGGAGCGAAATGATGGTCGAGCATTTTGCCATGGCAGCTGCGAGCTTCTCGCCGTCGCTAATCTCGCCTGAGATAATCTTTCCGTGCCTGTTAGCTCATGTTGCAAGTTGATATTCCTCATTTTGCCGTACCTCTAGGAGTTTCTTATCCCTGATGTCATCTGGAATCTTAGAAGTATTTCTGGCATATACGACCGTAGCACAGCTGCGATGAAGTAGCTCTCGAAGGAGGCATATACCAGCCGGGCCAGTCCCGCCCAGAACGAGTACCTTAGGATCAGCCATTTAAATTTTCAAGATATAGGTCTGAGCTTTAGTTAGAATGATTATACAGAAATTTCTTCCGATTGACGATAATTTATAGTCGTGTGCCACTCGGAGATTAGGTTCAGACTCTTAGGATTCCCGCCACAGAGTATCCCGCGCGGGAAAGACTCCCCTCGGAGGAAGCACTCCGCGGCTAGAGATGTGGGGTCTGGATTTTATTACTTCGCAAGGCGAATGGATGCTTTCACTGAAATAGGAATCTATCAATGATTTCTTCGTTTCTTACTCATGCCTAAATTTACTAGTAAAAGGGTTATATACTAAATATAACGATGTAGGCTAAGCTCATCGTGCATAATGCTAAATGTGAAAAGTTTGATCATTCTTGTTAAGTAGGTCTGTTAGCATATTGTTATTAGATCAGAAAAAACTTGAGATTTAAGCATAAGCTAGTGGCTTAGATAAATCACAATGTTATTACGTGGGTCGGTTAATATTCCATCTTCATTCTTACTATCAGCTAATTCCAAGGCACACACAGAAAGGGGGAAGTTTTTGGAATCGCAAGAGACTTTCATCCTCCCAGGGTCGGGTGGAGAGAGTCACATGAATCTTCTGGAGTCTTCTTCAGCAATTTAATAATTAGGAGAGGAGAGAGGGTATATGCACAGAAGGATCATACAGGGGCCCAAGTTAGCAATCGAGGTTGCTGACTTAGTGGCTAAGACTAAGAGCGGAACCAAGTATCATGGACTTACTTGAACCTAGCCTAGGCGCAATTTGTAACTTGCTTTTGTTGATGGCTGACGTTGAGCATAAGTAGTACGAATTTACAAGAGGATAGGGATGCCTGAGTTGTCTGTTTCTATCTGCCTGGCTTTCTTGCAGGAGAACGTTATTTTAATGCTCTGATTATAAGTGACGGGGGGCCAACGACCCAGACGATGAACTGATGCTTCACGATTCTTACCGTCAACGGCTGCCGTCGGCGGTTTCCATGTTCTGGCTTTTAATATCAATCGAACGCTATTGTGGAGTTATACTCTTGGTCTCGATGGTTGGAAGTGTTTAAATCGCGAAGGACTCATAGATATGGCACCTCGAATCAGAAGGGTTTTATATCCAACAGGCAATTTGCATCTCGGATTTACCGTTCGGATTTATTTTAGACCTCAGCGCTAAACCCATACTATAACATCTAACAGTTATATAATAAATCAAGATAGCTGAAGTTTCTGTTTTGCTACGCCGATGAGATGTTCATGATAACGTTAAGATGCCATGAAAAACAGCGTGCAGACAATGGTAAGCAGTGACCAGTAGCTTGGGACCGATACGAAGGAGCCAGCACTATCTGAAGAGCAACTATAATTCCCGGGCAGTCGATCTTTCATTTCCGTAAACACGCCACAGTCGACAATATCAGTTGAAAGCACTCTGAAGCTTTGTGTTATTCTCGTGGTTCCTTCGATTAGAGGTTTACTAAGGAGAAAATCAGCAATTAAGGCCTTCACAACGTACATATTCTGCACTTACAAGAAGTTGGTTGACACATCCCCCAAGATGTAAAAGCTGGACATGGTTTGGTTGGGCCAGTACCACGTCTGCCTTCCTTCTGCATTGACCGAAGAGTCAAGGCGGAGGCTACGCACCAGCCAGATTGAGATGCTTACATTGTTCCACTGTTCGGCTTCTTTCGGAAGTTCCAGGGAGGTCATGCGATCTCCCCGAATACGGACTTCGGAAACCTGATGAAATGGAAGTCGCAGATCCGTGATCATATCATTCATCGACATGAAGCTTCCAATAGAGAGATTGCTTGTCTTTGAGCCTCGTTCAATGCCAATAATTCCCTCTCTAGTTTCCAACTCGTGAATTTGGACCGTCTCTGAATCAGGGCCTCCAAGAATAAGGGTGATGTTTGGAGGAGGGCTCCAATGTTGATACCACAATTGTCCACTGATTTTTGCCTTGAGAATGCTCTTCCAGCCCAAGGTGAGTTGTTTAACGTGGGGTATATTTTGAATTGTGATGGTCGGCAACGCATCTTCGTTTGCGGGTGCGATAGGACCCTTGAAAAGACCATCAAGACTTTCAACACTGCCCCCGTCCGATATGAATATCCTACCAGTATAGTTTCTGGTAAACCCTTTCAGCTCGTCGATTTTGAACTCTTGTAGCTTTGGGGTCTCAAGATCCAAGGAACGAAAGTACTTCAGATTTGTGAAGTCAACATGGGTGAGATTTGTCATGTCGTCAAAGGAAACCGACTCAGAAATGTTTCCAACATTCGGCAGAATTAGTCTCTCAAGCCCAATGGGCCCCCATAAGTCGAAAACTCCGTCAACGAGCTTCAAAGTAGAACTGCTGATATTGAACAGTCTATCGACTTTGCCACTGGAGTCGCTGGGACGATGGTGCCTCCAGCTCCCCTGAACTTCCTCAACACCATCTAGATTGATATTCTCGCTGATGTTACCTCCAAATATTAAATTGCCGCCAATTATCTTGCAATTTTCTCGCAAGTCCTTGGCGTCGCTTTCTTTCGTGATGGTGAAATCTCCGTTGCAATCAATGGCAAGAGCACAGGCTGGAATATTTGTCAACTCTGTAGAGCTGCATCAGATCCTTTGCTTGTTGAACTCACTTGTAACAAATATTAGTATCCATAATGAATGGAGAAGGCCAGTCATGGTATATTAGACTATGCGCGCGGACACGCAGCTGCGACGCGTCTACATGAAAACAGGTTTTGCTGGAGGTAATGCAAACAGGAGTTCGTTAGAGGGAGAGAAAAAGAAGGATCGCTTAATTTCTTGTCTGTCAGCTCGAGTCTTGGCAAAATGTGTAACGTGACAATGCCTAATTTCACATTTGCCCCTTGCGGTTGCTGACGGAAGCGTCTCCATGCCACCGTCTTAGGACTCTAAAGACTTATCCAGACCATGGCATGCTGAATTGCAGGTCTAAAGCTACCCGTTAACGTCCGTTTCGAAGTAATAGATTGTACTTCTCATATAGCTGGCACATCGGTAGATAACCTTTTCAAAGGGTTCACATACTAGAGAAGATTACCCTTTCGGAGAGCGTGGTTAAATGGTGGAGAGAAATATATGTTCTCAAGCATAGGATAGAGGAACTCTTAGCGAGACGTTGTGTGCGGCACTCTGTCTGATTTAAAAGCATCTCATATTCAATAATAGTAGAAATGATAAAGATTTCTTGTTCTTGAAGTAGGACATTTTTAAAGGCTCGGAATTTGGTATGTCGGAGAAGAATCAAGTGATTCTTAGGTGATTCCACAAAGTAAATGAGCGAGCTGCGGCTTATATAGCCTACCTTAGTACAGGGTGCAACTCCCTGCACTTTGGGGTTTACTTCGGTGGGTATGCCCGTTGTGCTGAAAGAACTGGGGAAAGGAGGATCACTGCAGACAAGAGGGCCGTTGCGGAGGATCCCGTTGGCAGATGGATAATTGTAGGCTGTCGATGGATTGCGCTATCCCTTCAACTGCGCGAGAGCAGGTTTTGAATTATGTCACTGGCGACCTCATGTAATAAGGAGGCCTGCCAGGGCCGTAGCCCCATATGTTGAAGAAGAGACCCCTGTTGCGCAGACACCCTCAAGGACCTCGTGGCTCTACGCTTCATAAACGTTGTAGTGACCTCTGCATATCGCAGCGTGTTGTAGCAGACTCTTCAGGGAGAAATGCTGTTGAACTCATGGGACTAAGTGCATCAAAGAGAAAAACCTACATGTAAAATGAAGCATGACATGTAGAAAGAAAAGTTGGGTATACGTAGCAATGAAAGTATTCGTTTTATGATGTTGTGTCTGAAGGTCGCAACAGAGGGTTCATTGTAGATCCATATTATTGTAGACGGTGAACTTGGTATAACCATACTAATATGCCCCTATGACCCTATATTTTCTACTCATTGTCTTAAAACTAGGTACGTTCACATTTCATAGTTCGAACTAGGGTCATTCGGCTATTCTCTTTCTCTTCTGGTTTCAACACCTGCCCAGGCTGGTCAAGGGACCGTCAAGCTGTTCCATTTTGGGCAGCTAGATAACTTTCATGATTAACCATCTCGGTTTCGATTTCGCTGTCGGTTTCGGTACTCTCCAATAGGTCAGCCCCAGACTCAAGTCTGCGATCTGAAACAGGCCTTGCGGGCTGAGTGGACTAATCAGGAGCAAGATATTGTACATCTTGTAACCCTGTAATAAATCGCCTGTAATGGATGGGTAATCAGTCTCACTTTATAGGTCCCCTCCAAAACAGAGGGCATGCCCCTGAACTTGCCTCTCGTATAAATTACTTTCAGACGTAGACTATGTTGCTAAATTTTTGTCAGCAGCACTCAACTACTGTTTTTCCTGTATACGTCGTCGACACCAATCGTTGAAGGAGCATATCTAGACCACAACATGTCAATATTGCCAATGCAATGCTCGAATGTCTTTTGCTTGGCCATAGGAACTGGAGATGAGATGCCTAGCATGTTATTGGCGACGTCCCAGCATCTCGGTAGGGTATCTTGCATTTGAAACTCTCCAACACCTTGCCAAACAGGAAAGTGCCAAGGTTTCCTAATACTACTGTGTCCAATTTATCCAATGTACCTGGGGTCTATGAAATGACACCCCAGAGTCCGAGGTACTGGCTCTGCGTTTCAGATGAGATTCTGATCTCACATTGCTATATATTGTGCTCTTTCCGGAGTTGCTATCCCAATGTTAGACTTTTGACATGATCCTGCTCGCCTTGACAAACACACACAATTAGAATACACACACTAGACTTGCTTATTGTCTGTTATTCATAGAATATTTCTTGCTCTGATCTTCGTCATGACGGGCAAGAGCCTCTTGGCATGGCTCGCCTTTGGCTTCAGTCTTACTATTGGCGTACACGCCCAGCAGTCCGAGTCGTTCACTGATTCCAAAACAGGAATTACATACCAACAAGTTACCCAGGGCGCCTACACTTTCGGTATCGCCCTCTCCGAGGCCTCTTCCAACGATTTCATTGGCCGACTCAGTGCCCAGACCGCCACAGGATGGGCAGGTGTATCACTCGGTGGGCGCATGAGCGGGAGTGTCATGGTCGTTGCGTGGCCGAACGAGGGCAGTATTGTGTCGTCGCTACGCAAAGCAACTGGCTACTCAAGCCCTGCTGTCTTCACTGGTACTGGGTCGTTGAAGCCTATACCTGCCGGCAACTCTATTGACAACACGTCATTCACCTATACGTTCCTATGTGAGGGCTGTCTCCAAACTGATGGCAGCACTTTTGCGGCAGATGCTTCGTCGGCCAACATTGGCTATGGCCTCGCGGCCTCGGCAGTCAGCTCGCCCTCGTCACCTTCTTCTGCTCTTGGCTTTCATTCCTCAGGCTTCGGTCTGTTCGGGGTCGATATAGCCGCTGCGAGATCATCAAAGTTTGCTGAATGGGCCGCCCAAGCCGAGGACCCCGACTCACCCGGCGACCCTGGCGGTCCTCCTGGAGGCGGAAACGGAACAGTCCCCATCTCTAACTCGACCTACGACTACATAGTTGTGGGTGGCGGTCCCGCTGGTCTCATTGCATCACAGCGTCTGACTGAGACTGGCCGCTCGGTTCTGCTCATTGAGCGCGGCAAGGCTTCCACCGCGTCAAGCGGAGGCACTCAGTTTGTTCCGTTCAACGATAGTCTCACATATTACGACGTCCCTGGGGTGTTTTACTCTCTGGCTACTGCTACGCAAGGAGAGGGGTATTGCACTGACACGGCCGCCATTGCTGGATGCATTCTCGGCGGAGGCGGCTCGGTCAACGGTCTTGCATTCATCCACCCTCCCACCTGGGACTTTGATGATTATTGGCCTGAGGGATGGAAATGGTCAGACGTCGAAGCCGCGTCTAAGAGACTTTATTCCAGAAACCCAGGTACAACCTCGCCTTCCCATGACGGCAAATGGTACGACAATGAGGTTACTGATGTGATGGGTCCCTGGCTCGAGAGCAATGGCTGGAATCGATCTGATAGCATCTTGGATACCGACGACAAAATTAAATCTTTTGGCCCTCCTTCGATTAACGTGAGTCTGATCCCCTCCTGCATTAAAATGATTGATTTAAGCTGAAGTTTCGGCTTGTGCCAGGTCGCTAACGGTCTTCGTGCCGGTCCCATCCAAACCTATCTACCGTTAGCCCAAGCAACAGGAAGATTTAAGCTGGAACTTAGCATGAAGGTCATTAGAGTGATTCGCACTGGATCTACCATGACTGGCGTCGAAGTGGAGACAGCGAGCGGCCGACAAATCATTAACTTGAACCCCGGTGGTAGCGTTGTCCTCGCCGCCGGTGTCATGTCCACTCCCAGAGTCCTCTTCAACTCAGGCATCGGCCCGGCGGAGCAAATAAACATCGTCAAGTCGGGCTCGGCTAGTGTCACGCTCCCTCCTGAGAACGAGTGGATCGAGCTTCCTGTCGGCAAAGTGATCAAAGATCATTCACGTTATCAGATCGTTTTCAATGTGACCAACGGTTTGACCACATACAGTCAGGACCAGCTGGTACACCCTTCAGAAGCGGACGAGGAGCTCTTCAATGCGGGTTCCGGCGTTCTTACTCAGTCTTTCCAGCGCCTGGATGCTTGGAGACGAATCACCACAACGGATGGCCATAACATTATGTTCCAATCGTATTGCAACGCCAACACGAATGACACGGTCTCATGTGGTCTGATGATGACTCACGGGCTGACTTCAGTAGGAACGCTTGGAATTGATGGTACTGGCACCACGCTATTTACCAAAGAGCCCTGGACAAACACTGATACTGACCGGGAGGCCTGGGCTCTCTTTATCAACGAGCTTTTAGACATGGCCCGTAAACCTGACAGCCCACTTGTCTTCTCAGGTGGTTCCAATGCCACCGCCGATGCCATTCTCAGCACGCCTGTTCAGCCTGGCATCCACATGGTCGGAAGTGCTAAGTTGGGCACCGATGATGGCCGTTCAAATGGCACAGCAGTTGTCGATCTGGACACTAAGGTGTACGGAACCGAGAATTTGTTCGTGGTTGATGCATCGTTCCATCCTGACCTTCCTACTGGAAACACTCAGGCTATCGTCATGGTCGCTGCTGAACGTGCGGTGGAGAGGATTATTACGCTTCAAAGCAATGGTCTTTCGCAGCGGAAGAAACGGGCTGTTTCTTTAAGTCCTTGAGCGATTCTACTAGGGAGTTTTTCAACTTGTTCATTTTGTTCTTATGCTTGAAAGGTCATGGGCTTCTTGAACTCAACAGTAGTAAATTGAGCTTGGGAATACTAGGAGAAGCCAGTTCCAGTACCAATCAATGTTTTATTAGATTTGATCGACATCGAGATCTATCTTTGGCCTGCCTTCACTCAGATTTGTCATCATCTCGCAAGATAGCTAATGACGGAGGGGTAAGCATATGAAACAGCTTCTAGGTAAACAAGAATTGGGCTTCGAAGGGTAGCTTTAACGATTTCTATTTGAATCTTGTATACGTTCTCCCTGAACTTGTCTATTGAACACGTGTAGGTATTAAAGTCACCAACGAGACATTCTTACCCATGGGCCATGAAATTTGGACCAAGTAGATTTAGCAACATGATGATATCGATTTTGGTTAATATTACATTGATTATATGCCTATTCTTCAATCATTGTT